TCCAGTACTACATTTACGTTTAACTTTTTGCTGTTTGTAATGTTGCTTGAGATGAATGACTCCTATGTGCCATTTATTTGTGTGGCCCTTCTCTGACACCTGCCTTTCCAGATTGCCAGCTCAAGACAGGAGGTAAGCAGTTAGCCTGGATCACTGGGTGAATGAAACATGGACCAGAATTTGGCAATGTCTGAATGCTTCTTCTTCTTAGTGTTTGCCATGATCACAATATCTTCCTGCCCTCCTTCCTTCTGCAAGTGAGAGAGTTCTGAGCTGCACTGATAACAAGACAGCATTGCAGAGTGTCTATATGCCCAGATTGGCCTGTCATCAGTTATCCAATTTGGAAAGCACTTGGCATCCTTCTCTCACATTAATGAAAGGCATGCTGAGATTCACCTTTGTGAAGCCTGGCGGGTGCGTGTCCCTGATAGCCTTAGCAGAGCTTAGGGAACAGATGTCTGTGGCCCCTTGAAACCTGGCATTGAAGGAAGGGAAGATGTCTCCTTGAGACCTCCTCCAGCCCTTTCTAAGCCCTCTTGGCAGTGTGAACAGGAGCTGCTAGAAGGACTGGGGAAGAGCATTAGTAAAACTGGAATGTCTTTCTACCCATTTTAGTGTAAAACCTAGCAAGTGGCTTTATTTGTATGCTAGCCTGTGTTGGCCCCATTTCACTAAGCACTGTACTGTGGGCTGTGAGAGGCAGGTACTGTGCAGAATAGGAGAGAGCACTGTGTGTTCTCATCCTGTGAGAACAGAAAGTACCAAGCTAGGACGCGGGGTGGCTTAGTCATGAAGGAAAAGTTTTTGTTTCAGGTGCAGTGCCCAGTTCCGTCTGTTCCTTGGTTTCAGGTTCCTCCCTGTGCCCCGATTCCTTCACCATATCCCACTTAGGTCATTCTTCCCATCTCTGGAACCATGATAATGAAGTGGTCACTAGCCAAGCAAGGAGATCTGTTGAAGCTTGAAGGATACACTGTATACTTCTTCCCTTGCGACACAGGTCTGTCAACCCTTAGCAAAATGAGACTCATACCAAAAGAATAAAATCCACAGTAGCAGTCTGCTGCAAGGTGAGATCAAGGGCATTGCATTTCTGAAATTGTACACGTGTAACTTTATCTAAATGTTTCACCAGAGACCATTGCACTGTCTGTACTAGTTTCCTTCTGCAGTGCTCAGGGGTCCCTCAATACCTGGGTTCAGATGCAGTGGGAGTGTTCAGCAAGGATTTCCCACCTGCAGATAAGGCAAGACGTCTTCTGCAGCCCACAATGCTCCAATTTTTTGGCTTGTCTGGACTCATCAGGCTGTTCCCTGGGGTCTATGCTGAAATCAGTGATTCATGGGCAAGATGCTTGCCATGTGCCTGTGCCTCACTCCCACCTGATGTAAACCCTGAGGTGATTTCACGGTTGGAACAGCTTGTGAGAGGCAAGTGTCTGCCTGCCCTGGGTGTCTCAGAGGCACTTAAAGAAGTGGTGACAGAGCTGAGGCTGCACAACGCATGGCTGGCATTTGCAGCCTGCCAGTGGTGATTCAGAGCTGAACGTGGGGAGGCTGATATGGTCCAGTCTTATAATACAGTGGAACCTCCATCTTGACACACATGTATTGCTCTACCCTCAGCATTCAGTGTAACAGTGGGTTAGGTGAGAAGTACACCATGAGGCGTATTTACTGTCTGAAATTTCCCTGTGTCCTGAGGCATGAGTTTGCAGGCACTGCTATTCCCTCTCTGACTGTGATGCTAGGATCCCTGAGGCAGCAGAGTCTCGAGGTCTTGCAGTCTGGCCCAGCTGTATGCTCATGCTTGGCTGCTGTCTGCCATCACTTTAATATCTAACACATCCTGTGTTCAGGGAACCATGTCCCCTGCTTTATTGGAGAGAGCTGACTCCAACAGGCTTCCTTTGTCTCAGTGTATAGTGGTTTATTGAGCATGTAAGTACTGGGCATTTTGAGTAATTGAATTTGCTGGGAACTCGTGTTTAGCTGCTCTGGTGTTCAATCAGTGCTGCTTCTAGATTCCAGGAATTCCCTCTGGGAACAGAAGGATGAGTGGAAAAAGCCCCACAGTTTTGAAGCACGCTCAGCCAGCAGGTTTTGGTGTCACTGAGAAGTACGAGCTCATGTCTCTGTGCCGCGTGTTGCTCTGCCAGCCCACTGAGCCACGTGGCTGCCAGTGTTCTGCTGGGCTCACGTGTCTTTTCCCCCAGCAGTGGGTCCGGAAATGGCTTTGTGGATCTGTAGCTGGCTGCGCTTCTGCCATGCTCTGTCCCACGTAACAGGAGCAGGTGACATGCCATGAACCTCTCATTAGGTGTGTATCTGATTACAGCACTGGGAACCACTTGCCAGCAAACCTGCTGCCTTGAATGCCAGCCGGCCCTGACCAAAGTCTGTCTGCACAGAGCACTCGATGCAAAGCAGGTCCTTGTCAGCAGTGGTTTGTCCTGGTGCTGTGTGCTGCCTTTCCCTCCTACCCCATATGTACAGCAAGGGCTGAGCTTTGCCTTGCGGCAGAGCTCTCTGCATGCTTGGGGTGGACAGCCTTATCACACAGTGACATGCTAATTGCCTGGTTGCACTGATGCACATTCGTTCTTCTCTCCCTCCCCTGGAGTTATCCCAGGACTAACACATCTTCTTCTTGTCTCCTTACAGTTTACCTGCCAAGCTGATCAATGGAGGGATAGCTGGGCTGATTGGGGTCACCTGTGTATTTCCCATTGACTTGGCAAAAACTCGCCTGCAGAACCAGCAGAATGGCCAGCGGATGTACACCAGCATGTGAGTACACTGCACACGGGCAGCTTGCCACTGGGCTTTCAGCAGGGCATCCTTCTACGTTGTTACTTCTTTCAGGTGAGCTCAGCATTTCCAGGAACTGATTGTCCCCAAGAAAGCCAGGGGACAATCTCAAAGCAAGCTGTGCTAAAACAAGCAAAGTGTCTGTTCTGGCTGCTGAGCCCAGCAGGTGAGATCTGCTGAGGGTGCATCTGTTTGTGTCCCTCTCTTGGGAGCAGTGTGTTCTCTGCTCATCAGCACTGGTCAAAAGGGCAGGGAGGGCTCAGCAGAGAAAGCCTGGTTTGTTTCTCTTCTAAGCCACAACCAAGCACTTGGGAAAATCTCTGGCTCTTTCATTTCCCTCACTGTCATACTGGAGGTAACAACCTCTTCCTTTGCTGCGTGCTTTAAAAAGGGCACAATCACCTATTCCTGCTCTTGAGCACTGCAGTGCAGTCCTTCTGAAACATCACAGGTTGACACACACTGTAGTTTCCCATCAGTCCTTTGTCCAAGAAATTGTGCTGTGAGCGTTAGGAAAGGAAGGCACAAGTGTATCCAGCCCACCTGTGCTTTGCGTGTCTGCTGTGGGAACATGAGCTGTACTTAGCATGAGATGCTTTCTCTTACAATACAGAGACAAGCCTTAGTTTTTTTAAAAAATTCTGTATTGTTGAGGGGCAAAAGAGGGCTGGGACTGAAGGCAATGTGTGTGTCCTGTCCTCCTGCTTCTTTGTTCAGAAGCTGTGCTGCCTGCTTCCTGCTCTTCCACACTGGTTATACTCCACATCCCTGCCCAGGTGAATTTGGAGCACAGGGGGAATAGGATGGATGCACTGTGTTGAGTGTTTCAGTCTCTGGCCCTCCATGCTCTAGCTGCTGATGTGTAATTATGTGTGAACTTGGTTGTAGGCAACAAGCACCAGACTGGTGCCCCCCTTGACAGTTACAGCGCTCTCTGCTCCCTGTGCTGTCAGGATGCAGCCTCATGTCTCGCCTTGCCTCTCGTTCCTTCTGTGTCCGGCACCCTGAGTTGCTGGCTGGTGGCAGGCAGCAGCAACTGAAGAGCCTCAAGCCCACGGCATTGAGAAGAATCAGAATCACAGAATCGCAGAATCATAGGGGTTGGAAGAGACTTCCAGAGGTCATTGAGTCCAACCCCCCTGCCAAAGCAGGTTACCTACAGCAGGTCGCACAAGTAGGTGTGCAGGTAGGTCTTGAATATCTCCAGAGAAGGAGACTCCACCAGCTCCCTGGGCAGCCTGTTCCAGTGCTCCGTCACCCTCACTGTAAAGAAGTTCTTGCGCACATTTGTGCGGAACTTCCTGTGCTGCAGTTTCTGTCTGTTTCCCCTTGTCCTGTCTCCACACACTGCAGAAAAGAGTCTGGCCTCGCCACTCTGCCCCCACACCTTAGATATTTATAGACCTGGATCAGGCTTCCTTTGTCTTCTTTTCTCAAGGCTGAACAGACCCAGTTCACTCAGCCTTTCTTCATAGGAGAGATGCTCCAGGCCCTTCACCATCTTCGTGGCCCTCCGCTGGACTCTTTCCAAGAGATCCCTGTCTTTTTTGTACTGGGGAGCCCAGAACTGGACACAGTACTCCAGATGAGGCTTTACCAGGGCAGAGTAGAGGGGGAGGATCACCTTCCTCGACCTGCTGGCCACACTCTTTTTAATGCACCCCAGAATGCCATTGGCCTTTTTTTGGCCACAAGGGCACACTGCTGGCTCATGGCCAACCTGTCGTCCACCAGGACACTCAGTTCCCTCTCCACAGAGCTCCTCCAACAGGTCACCCAACCTGTACTGAAGCCTGCAATTATTCCTCCCTAGATGCAAGACTCTACACTTGCTTTTGTTAAACCTCATCTGCTTTCTTACTGCCCAGCTCTCCAGCCTGTCCAGGTCTCGCTGAATGGCAGCACAGCGTTCAGGCGTGTCAGCCAATCCTCCCAACTTCATACCATCAGCAAACTTGCTGAGGGTGGCCACTATCCCCTCATCAAGGTCATTGATGAAGATGTTGAACAAGACCGGACCCAGCACCGACCCCTGAGGAACACCGACAGTTAAGGTCTCCATCTGGACTCTGCACCACCACCAACGACCCTCTGCGCTCTGCCAGTCAGCCAGTTCTCAATCCACCTCACTGTCCACTCATCTATCCCACACTTCCTCAGCTTTGTTATAAGGATGTCGTGGGAGACAGTATCAAATGCTTTGCTGAAATCAAGGTAGACTACATCCACTGCTCTCCCCCCATCCACCCAGCCAGTGACAACATCGTAGAAGGCCATCAGGTTGGTCGAGCACAAACTCCCCATGGTGAACCCGTGCTGACTACTCCTGATAACCTCCTTTTCTTCCAGTTGTCTGGAGGTGGCATCCAGCACAAGCTGTTCCATCACCTTTCCAGGGACAGAGGCGAGGCTGACTGGCCTGTAATTACCTGAATCTTCCTTCCTGTCCTTTTTGAAGACCAGAGTGACATTGGCTATCCTCCAGTCTTCAGGCACCTCCCCCATTCTCCAGGACCTCTCAAAGATGACAGAGAGTGGTTCAGCAATCACCTCTGCCAGCTCCCTCAGCATCCCATCGGGTAAGGCAGTCTTCAAGCATGAAGCGACCGCCTCCCTTAGAAAAGCTTGGAGGTTGTCCCTCCACCTCATTCTCAGCCACCTTACCCTCCAGTTTCAGGGCTTCAAACCTATTACATAGAGGCACCTGAGGAACTGAGGTAGGTTGGGATGTGTGCTGCCTGCGTTGCTGAGGTGGGACCTGCTGCCATTCCTCCTCTCTTTTCAAGTTGGCTCTCTTGGTTTGACCACGGCAAGGGAGAGGGAGAGCAGGATGGAGGATTTGTAGGCACCAACCTGGGAGCAAATGGCAGCATGCCATAGCTCTGGAGGGGCTCAGGAGGAGAGAAACTTTTAATCCCCAGCAGCCAACTGCAGATCTGCTCTGTAACCATGGTCGACTGGGAGATGAAACACTGTTAAGGAATCAATGGATTTACCTCGTGTATCTGAGCTGACTCCTTTCAAGACAAAGCCTGAATGTGAATGAGTAGCGTGGAAGACATTGCTCTGACATGTGAAAAGTGAGCTTGAACCAGTGGGAATAAGAGTCTTTTGGGGGCCCAGAGGCCAGCAAGAACAAGGAACTAACAGGGATAACACATCCAGATAACATCAGGCTGTCCAGTGTACTGCCTTGACAAGCAAGGGAATGGAACTGAGAGGATGCTGTTCCAAGCGTGTAGTGTGTCCTCAGCAATACCCTTAAGATAGGTGCATACTGGGAGGGCTTATCTACGCTCCCCAGCTGTAGGGGCTTGTTTTTCAGGAAATACTGCATGCCCTTTGATACCAGATCTCAGAGGTGTCTGCTGAGCCCCCAGGAAGCCAAATAATTCATTTAAAACTCCAGCTTTTTTATTTTAAGACAGCGTGTGTTGCTTCTGAGGGGAGTGTAGGATGGTTTGATTGGAAAAATTATATAAATCTTGCCTGGTGAGAGCCAAAGATGCTTTGAAGCAGGCCTGGAGTATGGAAAGAACTGGGCTTTTGACTGTGTGCCCCATGCAGTTCTGCATAATTTTAGCTGTGGCTCCTGGCACCCTTCTTCAGAGCAGAGGAAATAAGGCAGGCATGGCCTTGGCTTCACTGCTTTTGCAGCAGCACGAGGGGTGGGGAGTGAGGTGCAGGGCTCACAGTGATGCAGCAGGGCTGTATGAGCTTGATGTGGAGGCAGCTCTTCCCACTCCTCTCTGCTCTGGCTTGTTCAGCAGCGCTGATGACTTGGGGAAGATGCCTTGTCTCCAGCATCACATTGGAAGAGCTTGATGAGGATATGGAAGAAGAACAGTGTCCAAAGGGGTGGAGGAGTCATGGCACAGGGGCATAGTAAAGCAGAGAGGCTCACTGCCTTGGCTTGGCTGCACTACAGGTGGGCTGTTTGCAAATGTATTACCCTAAAAACCACCTTGGCCAAAGAAGGCAAAAAGACCTCAAGAGAAGCCTGCATTTCCTTCTCTCCCACCTCAGCACTACTGCAGAGCAGATGTGAAGCTTCCTCTTTATGTTGCCCAGTCTCTCAGAAACATATTCCCGTTTTCAACTACATTTCCCTTATCACTGTTTTAAAGAGCCTTTTCCTCCTTGCATGCACACTTCTCCCTTCCAGCACAGCCACAGCGAGCACCTGCCCCTTCCTAGAGACTTCAGAGCAACCTTCAGCCAGCAGCTGAGTTTGTGCTTCCTGGACTGTGCATGTGTGTACAGAGCTTTTAGATCTGAAGGAAATGCAGCGAAAACAAAGGAAGTGACAGCTTTCTGTCAGGAGCTGACCTCAGTGGCACTCGATGCTGCCTCCTCAGGCTTGAGCTCTAGCGCTGCTGCTGCTGCTGCTGGGGGAGGCAGAGTGTTAAAAGTCAGCGCTGGGAGCTGAGTGGGAGGCCACAGATGACTGAGCGCTCAGGTCACCTCATGTTTGTGTGCCTTGTGTCAAATTTCATGGAGTAAGTCGAGCGTTGGGCGGGTTAGACCCCCCTCCTTGCTCCCTTTCCAGAGCTGGATTTAAAAGTATGTGCACGAGGAGCTGATTGTTGGAGCATCGCATACGCATTCTCCACTGGGGACCCTGGATAAACAGCCCTCGCAGTGACATTTTTCTCTTTTGTGTTTCTAGAAAGCAGACAGCATGCGTGGGGCAAGCCGGGGGTTTCAAAGCCCCTGTGAATTAGGGGCTGAAGTTGGACTCAGCCGGAACAATGGCGCATTCAGCGGCTGATGTTGTTCCCCTCCCGGCTCGGGGTTTTGCTGACATTGTAAATGAAAACCACTCCAGGAGATTAGTTTTGTTTGCTCTGCTCCCACCCACCTTTGAGCTGCTGTGGTTTATCTCTCTCTGTTTTGTTCGCAGGTCTGACTGCCTCATTAAAACTATTCGTTCGGAAGGCTACTTTGGCATGTACAGAGGTAAGAAGGGCTGAGGCAGGCTCCTCTAGCTCTGTATGGCTTTGCTCTGCAAGCACTGGTGTGTATGTGTGGGAGGAGAAGCCTGTATTCTCTGGCTTGTAGTGCAGTACCGTAGCAATACCCACAGATGTTGACACCTGCAGCTGTGTGTGAAAGTAGACTGCTCCATGCCAGATGTCTGCTCAGCAATCCACCATCTGGGACTGGAGTCCTCCCACGCCTATTCTGGTGTTAAATTATTCACCAAAGGTCATCTTTACTTGCAGTTTACATGGAGCTACTGTCCCAGGACTGCAGGTGTGCACTTCCCAACCTTGGGCACCATAGCTTTCATCAGAGCGGTAGTTGCAAAGGTCTCAAAGTGTCTTACTTTGTTGTTGCTAATTGAATTTATGTCAGAGCCTGTGCCAGTGGGATCAGGCCTGTTTGGAGCTGTAAAAAAAAAAAGGATGGTTCATGATGGAACTCCAGCTGTTCTGACACTATGTGCTAGCCTTCTAGAAGTCTCCTGGCTCTGTGGTTTAGGCTGTCCATTGTAGCAGTGAGTTCTTCTGTTGATACTTTTTCTAGTTTTAATGCAGAATTCTTGAAAGTTTCTAAACATTTTGGAGAGAATTGCAGGCCAAATTCTGATTTCAATCATAGTAAAGGAAAACATGGAATTATAGCTTTGGCTGTCAACACAGTCCAGCTGGCATAGTTGATACTGAACTCTAGTTCACGTTACATACTGGTAATCAATTGCCTGAATGTGCAGTTTTTATCTCTGAGATAAATAGTGTGTTCAGATAGCGTTCTTTGTGACACTCATTCATTAATAAAGCCTCATTAAAGGACAGCATTGTTTAAATGAGTCCTTGCTTCTTTCTCAAGCCAGAGTCTGGAGATGCTGGCTCCTTGCTGTTGGCAGAGGCAGCAGCTCCTGCCAATCCCTCCATAGTTCCTAAGGAAGCACAGTCTCTGTGGCCATCTATTGTTGGAACAACAGCTGGCTGCCAAGGTGGTGTCTCTTGCCAAACTTGCTGGTGGGCGTTTTGGGGGAGTGAGGTAGATGCTGGGGATGGATTGGCTGCTTTATTTCAGCTCTTCTGGGAGCAGGCAACAGGGCAAATAACCCTGAGGAATCCTGGCAAGCTCCATGCTCAGTGCTAGCAGCAATGTGTTCCCCTTGCCTTTTTCCACAAGATCCTCCTGTATTCCTAGCCAGGAATGATGCATGCCTTAACTTTGGCCATAAATACTCATTGGCAGGCAGCTTCCTGGGGAGCAGAGGGAAGAAGTTGTTCCTGGGAACTCACACAGGAGATTGTAGGGCTGTCAGGGCCCTTGAGAGAGACTCTGCAATCCTGGAAAGGACAAGGATATGCACCTCCAGGCCACATTTCATTTCCAAGCAGAAATCTCGAAGAAGACAGAGGGTTTTAGATAGTTCTTTCTTTTCCCACCTGTTGTGTAGGAGCAGTGATGAGTCCAGATGACTTGGTCTGTTTCCCACTAACCTCATTTCCTCCATTTGAGAGCTGATAATGGCTTGAACTTGTCCCCTCCAATTGCTGAACGAGGAGCTGGGTTTGGATAAAGGTTGTGTGAACAGCTGCAGCCTGAAACTCACAGATGTGTCAGTATGGCCAGGATGCTAAAATGAGTCTTCCAAGTACAGCGGTCCTTTTCTCTGTACCTCAATTGTGGGAGCTGATATTAGAAGCCCTTTCCTCCTTCTCAGTGAGAGATGAGACAGTAAAATACATCCAAGACTTGTAGAAAGCATATTTTCTGGGAAGAAGATAAAAATACGGCTCAGAGTTGCAGCTTGTGGGAGATGGAAATCAGACGGTAGGGTGGATTCTCGCCCCTTCCGTCTGTCCCAGCTCCACAGCAGAGGTTGTGCTATGACTCACAAGCGCTTATTTTCAGATGTTAAGCTGAAATTAGGAGGATTGTTTGTTAAGAGGCTAGAGCGGCAGCTGCTGTGTCCCATGGTGGTCACAAGCACAGTGATCATCCCTGCAGGACACTTGTCCTCTGTCAGAGGACAGAAAAGGGTCTGCTTGGGCCCAGCCTTCCCCACTCTGTGACTTCAGGCCTTTTTCATGTGTGAACCAAAGCTCACTGGTGCAGACAGAAGAGAGGCTTGAGCCTGCAGGCTACTTCTCTGCAAGTCATCCTGTTAGATCTTATGGGCAGCACGTGACACGCTCCCAGCTCCGTATGGGTCGCCCATAGTGAAAATTCTGGTGCATGTGACAATCTCAATGTTTCTTTCAAATTCTTCTCTGAAACTACAGGTGTTCTTGGCCTAGTTTGGCTGAGAAATAAGAGGATTTTCTCAAGTTCTTTCTCCATATCTGGGTAGCAGCAGTGCCTCAAAGCTGGGTGGTGTTGTATCTCCCTGCCTGTGCTAAGGGATGTCTGCGGGCTGCCTTCAGGTGTGATGTCAAGCAAATGAATTCATAATTCATAGTGCCCTGGGCTTCTGGACTTTCTGGACACCAATGGAAGGAGAGTCTGGCAGAAGCCCTTTCCAATCCTTGGTACAAACCATCCAGAAGTCACCTACAGATCCCAGCACGTGTCCTGGAAAGTCCTGCTGCTATTTGTAGAGCGGACATTTAACCTAGCTGGCAGGAGCCACAGGCCTGGATCAGGCTGGAGAAATGTCCTTTGCTGTTGATGACGTTTGGAGTTTAGCTGCACCTTGTTTGATGTATATTCTTAGCACAGTGTTACAGTAGTGTGTCAGCCTTCCCTTGCCTCTGTTAATAATATCTCCCACGTCACCCCCATTCACACGCTGCCTGCCAAAATTACCCCAGACTGCCGGGGCCGTGCCAAGTTTTCCGGACTTCAGTGTACCCTATTAATGTTTGGGATGGTTACGTTTATGTTGCCCTGGTTCTACCTATTCACTGCCCAGCTTCCTCAACTTTGGTTTGTTTCTGATGTCTTTGGTGAGGAGCTGCCTCTGTTTTCTGGCATGAGAAAACACCAGCTTATTTTTCCATGAGATGACCCAACAAAGTGGGATATGCCCTCCTTCCCTTTTTGTAAGTCAGCTTGGTTGCTTAGGGTTTATTAGCAAGAGTGCTAATGCTGCACTGGGGTCAGAAGTAGAGTGATTCAGTTCTCTGTTATGTAGCCTGTTGTTGGTATATAAGAGCTTCTATGAAAAATGTGTTTAATAACAAAACCTAGGGCTCAGTGAGAAAAGGCACTTAACAATTTAGCAGGCAAACAACTAACTGTTTCTGCCTCTTAACAACTTGATTTCAATCTTTGTGGTTCTTTCCTACCTTTCCAAACATTTTTTTTAATGTAATGATTACAATTTATTTTGCATTCTAGTCACCTGCCATTGCTTCAGATACATGCAGCATTGCCTATAGGCCACAATTAGCTTTAATTAGGGAAATATAGTCGTTGGCATAGCTAGAATTGAAGAGCTGCAAGGTTTTTGTAACCAGGTAGAAAACACCATGGAAAGCATCCAGCCAGCAGCTGAAGTATCTCATTTCTCCTCCTCCAGTGATTTGAAGCTGTTATGGATTATTGAGGACAGGGATTATCCATTCTCTGCTAAGCAGCTTTGCTGAAAATATCAAAGATGTAGGAAAAAGCAGACTATCTGTTTTTCCCTATCTTTTGCATGTTTTATTTCCCTCCATTTTATTTGCAGTTGGAGGAGAAATTGATGTGAAAGCCTCCATGGTTCCTGGAGGATGTCAGGACATGTCAACACTTAGATTTTTTCCTTGATGTTTTGGGTTTATATTTCTTTCTTTTGAGAAACCCTTTGTGCATCTGTTAGAATAGCAAATACATTCTTTTTTCTTCTTCTTTTTTTTTTTTTCCCCATAAGGAAAAGGTGATTTATGCTGTCTCAGTACTCTACAGGCAATTACTTCCTTACTGTTAGGAGCAATGCTGAGGTTGTCTTCCACTTGGCACTTGATGAAATGTTCTGCAAGTAGCCATTTCACTTGAAAATCAGGCTGTGTGGATTCACAAAACTTGAATGTTGCTGTCAGAGAGAGAAAAATGTGTCAGGCTGTCCTGTCAATGCTGTCTATTTCTGATGGGGACTTCCCATACGATGGAGATGCGTCCTTGAGCAGGGGAAGCAGATTCAAGGATTCCCGTGTCCCAGTCCCAGCTGTGATGCCACTCCACTTCCTTATCTGAAGAATGTCCCCCAAGCCTGTGTTTTTCCACATCTTGTTTATGGGTTCTGTAACCATGTTTGAAAGGAGGGAGGCAGAAGCTCATCCTCAGGAATAGAGTTGAGTTGACTTTCCGTAGGTCTGTTGAGCCCTTACACTCCTGTTAATTTGAGCTCGTCCCTCCTGAAAACATGGCCCCCAGATCTTCAAAGGTTAGTGTGAGTGCGGGCTTGTCTTTGGAAACCTGAGTTTTGGGACTAGTTGTTTTGATCTCCACAGCAGGTCCAAGTGCAAAAGTGTACCCTGGCAAAGGCAAGTTTGTATTTAGTCTTGCAAAGATGTTTAGATTGTTTGCAAGTACCAAGCTCCCCTGAAAGGTGTGGAGCTCAATGTAGAGGCTGGGAAATCTTAGCACTATCTACTGGAGGACTTTCTAAGCTGTAACGTTCAAAGGGAAGAGAATATTCTGGAGCACTGATCTAATGGTGCCCAACCCAAAGTGTTCAGGTGGGACCAGCCATCCCTTCAGCTTGTTATCTCCAGGGTGGCTTGAAAGCTGCCTGCCAGCTGTTGTGTTGTGCTAATGCTTGTCCCAAAGCCCTCCAGGCCCTGCAGGCTGCTCATTGTGGCAGGCTCAATGCAGGGATTTGCTGCTTTTTGCTCCTGACAAAAGAAAGTTCAGCGGGTAATGGGAGTGAGGGTTGTTTACAGCCCTGGTCCATGGTAAGCAGGCCAGCCTAGCCACGGCTTGCAACGGACAGAAAGCCAGCTTAACTGTCCTACTGAGCAACTGCTCAGAGGGTGACACCCAGTGGTGATACATAAGAGCAACCATCTAACCCCAGGAGTTTGTGCAGCGCTGGCTGAAGTCCCTGCAGAGGTACCAGCTGCTATCAGCCAACCTCCAGCTCTTCTGTCCTCGATTTTGAGCTGCAGTGCATTTCTAAATAATTCAGTTAACTGCTCCTTCTTTCATTCTCATTCTCCAGTGGTTTTTCCTCTCTTCCTTTCTAGGTGCTGCAGTGAACCTGACTCTAGTGACACCAGAAAAGGCTATCAAACTGGCAGCCAATGACTTCTTCCGGCATCACCTCTCCAAAGATGGGTGAGTAAAGGATGCAGACCTTAAGCATTTAACTTAAAAGACAGTAGCTCTTGGGATGAGGCTGCTGGGGTGTCTGAGTAAAGGTATAATGTGGTGATATGACAACTGAAACATTAGTTGACCTTGAACAGCTCAGCCAGTGATTACATTTGAGCTAAAGAAGTAACATCTAAAACTGGAAGTGAAAAGCTCTTCACTAGATGACTGGTTTTTATCCAAGCTTCTAAAAATAGTTACAGCTTTTGGACAAGGTTAACAGATCCAGACTTTGTAAGCAGCATATTTGAGAGGAACCCAGCAGCACTCATGGCTGCTCAGACAGCTGCTGGGAGGAGCCTTGTCCACAGCATCCCATTGGATGCTGCTGTCTTCTTTCTGGCTTTTCAGTGACTGCAGCTTGAACAGATTGTGACTCAAGTTGTGTAGACCCTAAACTTTAGCACCCTCTTGTCCTTTCATAGCTTGAAAATAATTCCAGAGAGCTGAGAAGAGGTGATGAGTGAACTTCAGTTTGGCAAAGGGCACTGGCAATGTAAATGCCAAATGAAGATTATCTGTTTAGTTTGAGAGGTTGGGTTAATGAACTCAATGCTGGTAAAAAGCACCAGTATGGCAGTTGTGTGGAGCCAGACCTTGGATATTTAATGCTGTTTTCACCAGAATATTTCCTTTATAATTCAGATGACACTCATGTCTCCCTTCAAGATCAAGACATCTCTCCAGAGACGGACAGTGAAGGGTCTAGCAAGGGCAATGTTTTCAGTAGTTAGAAAGCAACCTGCCTACAATAAAATCCCAGTTCTTAACTCTTAACCCAGCAGTTCACCTTGCTGTAAACACAAAGTTCTGCCAGAATTACTTGGTTTAACAGCTTCCTGTAACATGCCATCACAGAATCACAGAATCACAGAATCACGTGCCATGCCAGAACGCAGTGGCTCAGCAACGTCAGTGGAGTCTGCAGATTTGCACAGGTTGTGGATCTGAGCCTTTCCTACACCTATTTTTTTGTTCTGGAGTCTTTTTAAGCAGCACTTAATGTACGTCTGTGTGACTCATCGGCTCGCAGCTGTTTGTGATCGTCTGTCTCTTCAAATAGTGTCTCTCTGTACTCTGCACAGAAGGTGGGAGGTGATGATGTCCTCATTGCTTCTTCCAAGTGGTGGGTCTCATCCCTGCAGCATACAGCACAGCAAGCCCTGATGTACTGCTGTAGCCTAGCTCTTTGCTACCATCTATGAAGTAAAGACTTAATATGTTGAGTCTCAGTATGAAGCATTTTTTTCTCCCTTAGAGGAAAAGAAAGGTTGGGCCTTGGTTAGGTGGCAAGTGAACTAGACATCACACATGGTGTTGAAGTCAACTACTATGGGGGACTTGAATGAACAAAGTCTGGTCAGCTCTGCTTGTAGAGATAGCTTGAATGAGTTGGACAGAACCTTGATACTGTGGTTATAGACAGTTTAAGATATTTCTAACTAGAGGCGTCATTCCAAGATGCAGTGGAAAAGAAGGTGTCATGCAGGTTGGCTGTGGTTGGTATAGGCCATGAAACTAGGATCTAACTGGAAGGTATCGTACATGCTGTGACCTTGCTTAGGGCATGGGGAGCAGGGAGTTGCTGAAAGGCCAAAGATTACCAGGAAGCACCAGGACTCTTAGAAACTGTGGGACAGTTGCTTATTTTGGGGTCTTTCTTCTGCTTGCAAGGAAGTTGCAGGCATGGGGATGGTGAAAGTAACCTGTTGGAGAGGTTGTGCCCAGCCATGCTCTGGTGGCTGTGTGCCACCTTCCTGCTGGCAGTTCCCAGGATCTCTTCCCATGTGCAGCTCACGTGACAAAATTATTTCACTGGGTGATGGAGCTGGGTGTCTGCCAGAGGGTGCCTTGCTCTTGGTCCCATTTTTCCAAGCTGTTTGCAGGCTTCTCCCTTGAGATGCTTCTGTCTCCTTCTCCCTGGCTAATTTTGTTAGAAGACAGAGCAGGAATCTTCTAGACTTGTTGTCTTCTATTTAACACTGAATGCCTTCATTGCTAAGCTGCTGGCACTTACCTTGCTTGAAATGTGTTTTTTATCAGTTCCTTGTTTTACAAAACGTGCATATTTTATCAGTATTTGTTGACCAAAATTGCTGAGTCTGGCTTCCACTTGAGCTTCAAAGAAGCATTCTGTGGACAGGGAGATGTCCACAAAATGTGGACATGTGGCAAATGGCCCAAAATAGCTTCAAGATACTCAGCAACTTCCAGTGAGCTGCTTTTTTTTTTTTCCCCCCGCTTTGAAAAAACTTGATGTTGAAATGAACCTGCTTTTAAACTGCTGGAAGAATAATGTGGCATAAGGCCTGTTTCCAAAAGGCCAGATGGAAAACAACACAAATGATGTAGGAAGTTCCTGGCTGCAGATTGCTGGAAGACTATTTTGGGGCTGTATCACTGCATCACTGCAGGTTTGTGCTAGACTCTTTTTTTGGTTGTGTTTTTTTTTCCCCCTTCCTGGCTGCGCTCATGGATGCTTCAGGAGTTGACATTGGGGCTTTATGTCCTTATTGGTGCTCTTGTTCCCCTGAGCCTGAAGAGTTCTGCTCCTGCAGGTCTCTCCACCCTGGGGCCAACTCAGATGGGCACTCTCCCTCCTGCAGTGCTTTCCCACTCCCTTTTGTTACAAGAGAAATGTGCTCACAGGAGGCTTAATTTCTGCTTCTTTTCCTGTTTCTATTTTCAAATTGACACCAGTGGCAGCCTGCTGATAACACTTCTTGTTTCCAGAAGAAACAAAACTTACTGTGCTGGTCTTCACATGCCACCTCATTTAGAAACAAGGAGGCCTGTGAGTACTGGAAACCCCCTAGAAAACGTGGCATTGTCCTGTGATTATTTTGCCTTTAGAGTCCCTGCAGTTTCCAGGCCAACAAGCTGAAGTGGGGATCTGCAGAAGCATCTTCTTGCAGGTCTTCATCGCTGTGCTTCTGGGAAAGCAGGATGTGAGAGGGGAAGCTTCTTCGCTTTAGGCTACAGAGAACTGATGAGATTTTTCTCTGAATTTCTGAAGCTGGATGGATTAAGAAATCCATAAACTCAGAGCTGCTATCAAAACAGCAGCAGCTTTATCATCCAGAGCAGAGGATGTGAGAGCAAGAATCACTGGAACTAAGTGAAGCACTTGGAGATGAAGCACACAGGCATGAAGCTAAGAAAGCAATGTAAATTGGTAGTACACCTGCATGCATTTAAAGTACAGTGATTTTTAGATACTCAGTATGTGTGCACACTTTCATAGGTGCAAGTGTTGCCTATAGAGCTTTTTGTCCTCTTTGAATTTGGGTGATAAGCGCTTCCTAAAAGCTGATCCCTGTAAAGTGTCTTCATGTTTATCTCCAGAGCATTTAATGCCAGATAGCTGTTGTTTGCCACGTGCTTGCCAGGTTTGGTTCTTGGCTATGTGCTCTGCCTTGGCTCCAGTAAAAAGTGTCTCATGTCTTCTTATAAAAGACATTTCTTAATCTTAAAAGCTCTGCAGTGTCTCTGGATGAGTTTCCTGCTGTTCATCTTCCTCCTCAAAGCCTGTCATTATGTTATTCTCTTACCACTCCCATCATCTTTACCTGCATTTTATTTGCTGTTCTGGAGTAAAGGCTGGAGATGTGCTGACTGAGCAGCTCGGGTTCCTACTTAAACCACTGTGGTTGCACTAATTGTTCTTTTGCTGATGCCAGCAAATTTTCTTCCTTTCTGCCCCGCTTCTTGTCCAGCTTTGCTTGGAGAAGAGAAATAGCTGACTGTAATCCCAGAGGCAAACATAGCACTTTTCCTGCTCTTCCATTTAGATGCGGAGACTGGAGCTTGTTCTCCATTGCCTTGCTGGATGGGCTCTTTCCTCCATCCTCTCCTCTTTCAGGCTGTCCTAAAATACTCAGACTATCTCTTTTGTGGCACCTGGATAAGTAGCGATTGTATGGCCTGGGTGATCCTTAAGCTGCAAGGTGCACATAGACTGTGAAGAGAGGCTTTTGGTTTAGAAAGGAGAGGTGCTGCCATTATTTGTGCTGCTGAGCTTCTGTGTCACCTTGGCACACACTCATACAAACACAGAATTATTAAGGTTGGAAACAACCTCCAAGTCTAACCACAACCCACCCCCACCATGCCTACTGACCATATCCCTCAGTGCCACATCTTCACTGTTCTTGAACACCTGCAGAGGTGGTGACTCCACCACTCCCTGGGCAGCCTGTACCACTGCATCACCACTTTCTGACAAGAAATTTAATGGGCCAGTTCTCTCCTGTTGTTATCTGCTGGACGCCCAGATACTTCCTTAATGCAGATAACCTGCATCCAATCCTCTGAGACTTGTGGGTGGGAGAAAGAGCAAGTTCAGAGTTCATAATCTCACTGTGTCCCTTCAGGAATAACTGTCTTTGAGGTCCTTTTATTTAGCATACAGCAGCATAGAGAGTTATGGTGGATTGAAGTCATAGCCTCCAAAGGTCAGCCAGAAGGTAAGGTCACTTTCAGCTGTTAATCCAGAGGGAGCTGGAGGTGGATTGTTTAATCACAGCAGGAGCCTCTGGAAGGAACATGGCCCTTGTTGTTTCCCTTCCTGCTATTTACATTGTTAGAAAACCAACTGACTGCCTTTGATTTGAACTCTTCAGGAGCTTTGTGCAACCCTGTTTGGACAGACCAAAGGCAGTGGTTATTTTATGAGTGAGGAAGGTGATGTCCAAGCTGGGAAGAACATCTTGGCTCCTATAATATGGCTTTGTTATGGATGTTTCCTTAGGTCAGACTTTTCCTCCCTTTAGGAATCTTGTCACACCTATTGTGGAATGGTTGGGGTCCTTCCCCCAGCACTGGCATCTCCTGCACAGCCAAGATTTTTCAGAAACTTTTGAAAAAGATCAACTTGACATCAGTATACCAATTTCCATCGGTGCAGAATTTGGGATATTTGTTACATTTAACACACTCTTGCTGTGATGAAAGATTGTTCTGACGCTTGTTGGACCAAGTCCTTGTAGAGACTGTGGCTTTTGAAGTTAGTTGGGATGTTCCAGTGTTCAGACCGTTGAGGATAAAGCCTGTGGTGCCTTGAAGTTGAAACCTCTGTTGTCATCTAGAGGTGATCCATTTTCCAACTCATTTTATGTGCAGACTAGCAAAGTTTTGTGATGGAAGTTTGACCTTCGGATGGTAAATTTTAAGCTTCCTGACAAAAGATTTGCTTGTCTTGGTGTGCTTTTATTTCCTGGACACCCCTCAGGTTCCCAAGAGATGCAAACCGAAAGCCCTCATTCTACATGCTTTTGATGTACCTGTTTAACATCTCTCTAAAATACACCCACACACAGAAACCTTCACTGAGTCTCACTGCTGGGGCTCCATGGAGCTCAATCAAGGCGGGCTGATCTGTGTGTGCTGGGGTAATGGCCCACAGATGAACACACAGGGCATCTCCCTGAGCTTTTGAACAGAGCATCAAAGCAATCTTGCTGGGCAAAAGCCAAGTGTGTGCTTCAGGGTTGCTGCAGGGTTTTTGCTGAGGCAGGAGATGCTCTGCCAGGTTGTGGAGAGACTAGTAGCTGGCTTCTGTGAGTGTCTGAGTCCTCCCACTGCTGGCCTAAGGGCTGTGCAGCAATGCTTCTGTCCGCGTTTCATCCACAGGGGAATTTGAAAAGGTAATACTATGTGGTGTTTCTTCCTTCAGTCCCAGTGGAGAGCTTTATATTTAGCCATCATAATCTCTGTTTGTGCCTCTAATCCCTGCTTGCTCTGATACCCAGCCTGGAGAAGATGAGAGGCGGAGAAACGGGCGCACTGACGTGGCAGGCAAGCAGGATTAGGGCAGTCCCACTGTGACCCGGGGTGCCCTGCGGCATGTGGGCAGGTGGGGAGTGGGCAGAGTGACGTGCCCAGATGGGAGATGCCCAGCTGGGGGAAGCTGAGCAAATCCCCAGCACTGCCTGCTGCTCAGCACGTGCTGCGATGGCGCCCAGCAGCAATTAATGCTCCGTTCATTGCACTCAGACCTGCAATTGCCTATTGCTGCAGCAGCTGGGCTGTGGGAAGGTGAAAGTACTCATTGTGTTTAAAACAACAAAAAAAGAGGCTGTTTCCCCTTGGCTGTATGATCTCTCACTGCTTTTTTTTTTTCCCCTTTTAAAAAAGGAACAGATCAAAAGCACTTTTTTTTTTTTTTCCCAATGATTTCTGGTGCCACCGTGGTGTGAGATTTTTACAGGGCGAGAACTCACCAGTTTCTGAAAATTGAGCCTTTCTGCATCCTAAGTTCCTCTTTTCATCCCTAACTGCGTGGTTTTGTGGCTTTGGGAGGGAGGAAGCTGTGTTTTGTAAGACAGGAGCATGCCCCCACTGACTCCAGCCCTCTGGCACAGAAAATGCACAGAGCTGCAGTACTGGGGTTCTGTCATGCCCTTCGTTTCTCAGCAGCAGCAGTTGGGTGTAAAAGCTGCTTTTTTTGCCTTCAGGAAGTAGGGTTGAAAAGGCTGATAAGTTGAAGAAGTTGATAATCATAAGGGAGCTGCTTCTTGACTCTCACATTCACCTTTTACATATTGTTGCTTTTGTCAGAGAAGTTGAAAGCAGCAGCTAGAACTGTTTCCTCTTGCTCCTTGGTGGCCTCTGCTGGGGATGTTGTCAGTGTTTAAAGGACTAGGCTGGCAGGAGGGAAACTGCTGCAGCTCTTGGTCCAGGGATGCAAAGGGCTGTATGTTCCCCTCTTTCCCACTGCTGAATTGAAACAGTGCCAGGTTAGCGTGTCTGTTGGGACACCTGGTGGTGTGTCATGGATCACCCTTGAGGACCACGTGGTATGACAGCAAACAGCCAGCCTTCCAGTGTAGTGGTCTGGGACTGTGCTGGGCGGGCTTATGGCTTCTTCTGAATGTTGGCCACATCCTCTGACCACCTCTCTCTTGCTTTGGGCAGGAAGAAGCTGACGCTGCTGAGGGAGATGCTGGCAGGCTGCGGTGCGGGTACCTGCCAGGTGATCGTCACCACTCCCATGGAGATGCTCAAAATCCAACTGCAGGATGCAGGGCGGATTGGTACGTCTGCATCTCCCTGTGCACTAGGCAGGGAGAGGGAATGAGCCATAAAAACGCTTTTCCTTCCTCCCACTTTAAGTCAGAGGTACCTCAGTTAGTAGCAGAAATTTATCCTCTTCCCAACTTGTTTCCTCCCAGCCTTTGCTCACCTGGCCTTGCAAAGGCCCTTTTGGTTAGAAAACGTGTTTTTGCTCAGAGCTTGGTGGGTGAAACAGCAAATGCTGGTGGTGGATGGAGAGAGATAGGAGAGATGGCTGGGTTGAGCACCTTGTGAGCGATTACAACTTGCCAGCTCTCTACAGTCAAGAAGGAGTTAGCATCCTGCAGTGCTTTTGCTGTGGTACTTCCTCTGTCTCCTTCTTTCCTGGTGTCCTTTCTGTCTTCCCCACTCCTCACGGTAATACTATCCTAACAGCTTCCAGGCATCCTTCCCTGGTCAGAACTGAGACCAGAAGTGGCTTGGAGAATCTGGAGGAAGAGCTGTCACTATTAACCTCTTTGAGAAGTCAGCCCAGCATATGGCCCTGTTCTTGAGAATGTCTGGTGATGCCCACTAGGTACCTTCTGAAACTGCCTGGAAAATGGGCCAATTTGTCCTCTAATCTCTCCTTTGATGTGGCATTCCTGAATAATCGTGGATTTACTTTGCTTTCACCTGTTTGCTGCTTTTAATGCAGACCTTATCTTCTTTGTGTAGTATTTTAAAGTGCTTGAAGGATTTAAACCATAGTTGAAAGGGTTCACAAGAGGTTTGTGCTGATGCAAACACCTCGTTCTCTGTGCAGCATGGACCTGTGGTGTGCCGGTGGCAGCCACAGCATTGCCTGCAGGTTGGTGTGCTCCCCATCTTCTGGCCAAAGAACAGAAATGCATCAGAGTTTGAAAAGGCTCCTGGAAAGGAACCACGTTGCCTGTGTAAAAATGGTCTATCTGCTCAGAGTTAATGATTGCTGTACCTCCAGTTTGCTCTACTGAGAAATCCTTCTGTCCCGTGGCACCAGGCAGCAAGAGGCTGCTGTTGAGCATCTCGCAGTCTCACACTCTGCTTCTCCGCAGCGGCACAGAAGAAGCTGATGGCAGCACAGGCCCAGCTCTCCTCTTCCTCTGCGGCCGGGGCAGCAGAGCCGGTGGTGGAAACGCGCACCACAGCGACGCAGATAACCAGGGAACTGCTGCGCAGCAAAGGCATCGCAGGACTCTACAAGGGCCTGGGGGCCACGCTGCTAAGGTAGGACGTGGAGCAGAACTGTCAGCCTGAGCCTCCAGAGAGTAACACAGGCGTTTCAGCTCTTGTCCCTGTGCAGTCGCAGAGCTGGGATCATGTCTGCACTGCACTTGTGGCTGCGCTGCCAGCACACCATGCATGCAGCCCTTCGTTTGATGCTCGGTTTGTTGGTGTCCCACCCTGACTTTGCTCATCCTTGTCCTCTTTCTTTCTTCCCCTTCCTCCCTTCCCTCCACAGGGATGTCCCGTTCTCCATCGTTTACTTCCCGCTGTTTGCAAACCTGAACAAGCTGGGCCAGAAAGACCCCAATGTCAAGGCCCCGTTCTATGTGTCCTTTCTCTCTGGATGTGTGGCCGGTAGTACAGCTGCAGTGGCTGTCAATCCTTGTGATGGTGAGTCCCCAGCAGCTTGTTCTGGCAGCCTGGTGAGGGGCAGGATGGCCATGCTTGCCTCTTCACTGCATGAGCACTGAGGGCAGTATAGGAAGCGAGCTCTGCTGTTGTAGCTGCCTCCAGGAGCTGAAGGTGTTTCCTTCAGCTGAGCTGGAAACTTGGCTGTTTTTTTCACAGAAGTTTGAAGTACTCACTAGATAAGTCAGGAAGATATAATTCATGTCAGCCATTCTTTACAGGACTTGCCCCTGTAAAGGCGCATTTCCATCTGGAGTATTGTCCCCCAACCAGTGACACATGTGCCAAAGGGCAGAGACAAGTGGGGGCCTTTTCTTCTGCTCCACAGCAGCTGCCTCAAATACCTTAAAATCTTACCTGAAAGTAAATCCTTTCTTGTCAACATTGCACACACTTCAAGAGGGGAAGAAATGTAAGAGCAATGCTGCGTATTTTAGGTATTTTGACCTGCCGTTCCAGAAGGAGTCGAGCATTTGGAGATAGCTCAGAGTATTTGGAAATCAGATCCCATTTTATAGAAAGATACTGAGTTTGGAAGTATTTAAACCTAGGTCAGCCTTGGAAGCCTTGGTCACATTGGGTGGAGGGAGCTGGTTAATTTTTGGGTGGTTGTGTGTTTCTTTTGTCCGTTTGTAAAGGAGGGGGCTTGCTTTCTCCTGTTTTAATGGCACATATATGCAAATGGTCTATGCTCCTCTTGGCTGTCACAGAGTGCTCTCAGGTTTGGCTCTTGCCTGCTGCAAGCCAGGGGCTGTGGGGGAAGGCCAGCCCTCCACTCACCACTGCCTCTCTTTCTCCCCAGTGATCAAAACACGGCTGCAGTCCTTGCAGAGAGGAGTCAACGAAGACACATACTCAGGAATCCTGGACTGCACCAAGTAAGACTGCTGGGTTTAGACCTAGGGGAAGGCAGAAAGCCAGGGCATGGCCAGAGGTTCTCCTGGCACAGTGGAGGGATGGGAAGGGACGGACACTGACCAACCTGCGCCGTCTTTTCCCAGGAAGATCTGGCAGAAGGAAGGACCCATGGCCTTCCTGAAAGGGGCGTACTGCCGAGCCCTGGTCATCGCTCCTCTCTTCGGCATCGCACAAGTCGTCTACTTCATTGGCATTGCCGAGTTCCTCCTGGACATACTCCCCAAGCACCGGGCCTAGCCCTGGCACGCCTGCCTGTGCCCGCCCGTCCTCTGCCACGCCGGATTCATCCCTGTGTTCGTCGTCCATGTCGAGTGGTGTGAGAGCAACAGCACAGAGGGTTCGCTTGGGAACGTGGGGGACATGGTCTCCAGATGAGCAAACATAGGGAGGGAGAGTCTCTTTTCTATCTTCATCTGCAGCCTGTTCCCTCCCCCTCCTTCCACGGACAGTACCCAATTATGCATATCTCTTTTTTTTTTTTTTTCCCCTTTTTTTTTTCTTCTTTTTTAAATCGTAATTCTTAAGGACACTGGTAAGCACAGACTGGGCTTGCGCACCCAGAATTCTCTTCCCAGCATTTAGAAGGAAGAGGGAAGAGGAAAAAGATAACCTGAGCCCTCATTCACCTCTGCCCTTCCTAGGGCTCCTGGCTGCCTGCAGAGGGGCTGCAGGGGCAGCTGTGTCCCTCAGCCAACTCTCTGGGTGCTGGGTCCCAGGAGGAGAGCAGGTGTCCTGCAAAAGGATGCAAAGGGGACGCTGGGTCTGGCAAGTTCCTTGGCTTGGAAACCTTTGCCTCTTTCCCTTGCTCAAAAATCAGTTGGACTAGGATGAATTTCTTAGAGATCAAAGGAAGGGAAAGGAGATCATTACTTTTTTTTTTTTTTTTTTTTTTGTAATTTTTGTTTTAAAGCAAAGGGATTTCCCTCTTGGTGAGGTGCAGAGGCAAGGTGGCTGCTCTGTAGGGAACATGTCTGTGGGATCATGTGAATGTCAGAGGTCCTTCCCTGCTTGGCTGTAGGCAGGGGAAGGAGAGAAACTTGGGATCAACTTTATTTTATTTTATTTTTTAATGCGGGGATTGTGGGGAGGGAAAAGAACCAAACAAAAAGAAACCACTTACATTCCTTCAGCCTGCCCACCCCGAGGTGATGCCTGTAGCAGGTGTATGGTTAGCTGTGTACACAGTTGGTTCTGTGTTTCCTGGCTTGGCCCCAGGACATGAAAGGAGGAGCCTGGTCTGTTTCCATAGGGTCCAAGGTACAGCAGCTGTGCTATGAAGCCTGTGTGTTTGCTCTTGCAAGGTGAAAGGACAAGGTCTGCTTTTGTGTTGTTGTTTGACTGGGTGTGCCTGCAGCCAGCTGCTGTCAAGGAGGTTCCATGCCCTGAGCAAGGAGCTGTTGTGCAGGTGGGACTGCAGGATTGCAATCCCAGAAACTGATCATCCCTCTCGCCCTTGGGGAAGTGTTCGTTGTTGGGTGGTGGGGGCATTTCCCTGCTCCACAACCCACTCTGCCAAAGGGATTCTGCCCAACTGCAATCACTTGTCAGAGGGCTTCTCATTAAGTACTCTCTTGGGCTGTGCTGTTAATCCTTGGTAAATCATGTTAAGTACAAGATCAACAACCTCACCGTGATCTTCTCCATTATTTATTCCATGTGGTGCAATCCACCCAACCTCAGTGTTTAAATTAAACGAGTCAAATTCACCTTCCATTCCTTCTTTTCGTTTGTTTCTCCAGGCGCTTGCTTGGTGTTTGTGTTTCAGTTGTGTATTTAAGTTAATTTAAAAAAAAATAATAATCCATGTTTTTAATGTTTGGAAAAAAAAAACCACCTCTGTTTCAGCATTCTTGGGTTAGGGTATTTCTCAAAACCCGAATGTTGAGTGCTTTTTTCCTCGATGTGTCCTTTTTCTCTTAGAAGAAGTCGTTCTGTAGCTGCTATGTTCCTTGTCACTTTGCTATGTGAATCACTTTCCTTTTTTTTTAATGATTTTTTCCTTGTATCTGGGAAGGAATCTGCAAAGATGGTCTCTGAGTCTGGTAGATGTCTGTGATGTGTGTAGTGCTGTGGTGCTGCTCTTGCTCTGGATTTCTCTTGGGTGGATTAAAAGAGAAAGATTTGTGGTTTTTCTAAGGTGCTCCCTCTTCCTCCCGAAACCTTCAGCTGCTCTTGTTCAACAAAACACTCCGAATCTTAATTGCAGGGAGGATTCTAATATGTATGGTTTTCTAAATGCAGGTGCAAGTTTGTGTGAGTTTGGAGCAGCCTCCCTCCCTGCTTTCCTCATCCCAGCATCTTAGAGAAGGTGGGGTCGGGGGCACCCATGGGGCTGTGGGAGTGGGGGTCGGCTTTGGGGGGCCACTTTTCCTTATCCCCAGGTGCTTCTGGATACTGTGACCTTACTGGGGCTGGGTTTAGCTGCCTAGACCTGAGGTTGGAGGGTGTCAGGAGGTGGCTATGACCTAGCCCTGCAGGCTGGCACCAAAACAAAGGCAAATTTCAACTAGGGGGAATTCCAATCCACCAGCAGTGAGCAGAAACCTCCAAGTGTGAATTCCAATATTATGAAGTAGTGGCAAACAGGCACACCTCTGCTTGCCCTGGCCTGCTGCAGGTGCCATGTGTCTCCAGGACAGGGGATGATGACTGGAGCGTGAAGCTGGCACATGGTGCATCTTACCCCATGACTTTTGCATTGGGTCCTCTGCTGGGCTCTTCTCCCTTATGTCCTGTGTGGTGTCACTTTGTCCCTGTCCAGGCCTTGGCTCTGGTGGCTCCAGGTGCTTAGTGCCCCTCCATAACCATGGTTTTTCATCTTCGTCCTTGGAGGAAAAGAGAAAAGCGTACCAGGAAGTGGTAAGGAAGTGTCCTAAAGCATCATGAGCAAATTCCTACAAAGAAAAGTGGAAAAATCCATGAAAGTGATAGGGAAATCCTGACAAGGTACAGTCAAATGTCCTGGAGGGTGATGGGGAAATTTCCTGTGAGGCAATGTGGGAATTTTCTGGAGAGCAGTAAGGGGAATTCCTCAAAAGTAGAGGAGCAAATATCCTGAAATATCCTGGGAATCTGTGGGGGAACTTTGTGAATAGCAGTGGTTGATGTTCATGGAAAATAATGGAGGATCTAACCATGAAACATCCTTGAAACCAATGGGGGGATTGCTGGAGTGCAAATTGGAGAGATTCCTCCGTGAAAGGAACAGTGATGCTTCCTTGGCAGCAGAGGGGAAACTTCCTAGAGCACAACAGGTGGATTTGCAGGCGAGCAATGGAGGAACTTCCTCAAAAGGTGAAGAACTGCTGAACACCACCAAGGAAATGCCCCAGGAAGCAAGGGAGGGATTTCCTACAAAGCAGTGGGGAAATTTCCTGGGAAAGGATGGAAGAGTCCCTAGTTGGTAGCCCATGGATTTCCTATGATGCAATAGGGGATTTCTTAGCAAGGAGAGAGTATTTTTTGGGGGGGAGTGAGGGAAGGGGAGGCTCACCCCCAGGGCTGGCAGCGGTCCCCGGGCTTGATTTCTTTTCGTGCATGAAACCCAGGAACAGCGCTGCCCCCTGGGTCTGGTTCTTCACCCGGCCCTTAGCGTGCGCCCAGGCCCGGAAGAGTTAAAAAGAATTTCAAAGCCCGCTGGACTTTCCAGCCCCTGCGCTGCACGATGGGGCCGGGGCCGGAAAGCCCCGCTGGCAGCGTTTCGGGCCGCCCTTCGACCCGCGCTGCGCAGTGCGAATATCCCCATCGCCTCCCAAGGGCCGCGGCGGACCTGGAGGCGCGGCGCTGAAGCGGGATCCCCGCACCACGCAGCTGCGAACCCGCAGCCTCCCTGCCGCTCCCTCTCACCGGCGACGGTTTCAGTTTCGTTTCCCCACGTGATTTCCAGGAAAGCCTCCGTCGCTCTATAAAAGCCCGGTCCCGGGGTGGCCCCGTCCGGACGCCGCGGAGCCATGGCAGCGTTGGACAGCGAGGGGTAAGCGGTGCGGCTATGTGCCCGCCGGCCGGCCGCGCGGCCCCGGAGCTGACCGTGCCGCCCCGCAGGGACGCCCAGAAGCTGCGCTTCGGGCCCTGGCTGCTGAACGCCGTCAGCAGCGGGCTGTACCACGGCCTCTGCTGGATCGACCCGGACCGCCGAATCTTCCGCATCCCCTGGAAGCACAACGCCAGGAAGGATGTCACCAGCAGCGACGTGGAGATCTTCAAGGTGGGGGACTTAGCGATGGGCCGACCTCAGGGTGCTTGGGTATCGCCAGCAGTAGCGGGGGGGGGTGTTGAGTTCTGCACCTCCAGCAGCCCAGCAGTCTGTCTCTGGGGTGGGCAGCGGTGACCCAAGGGTGGGTGAGATTAGGGGGGGGTCAACGGCAGCAACCCCAGGTCTGCAAGCTGGTTGGTAATGGGATGAGCAACAGCGGTGATTCCGAGGTCTTTGAAGTGGCACGAAGATGGGTGGATGAGGTGCTGGCACAGGCTGCCCGGAGTGGTGGTGAGGTCACTGTCCCTGTGACTAAGAACTGTGTGGATGTGGCAGTGAGGGATGTGGTCAGTGCGCATGGTGAGGATGGGTTGGTGGGCAGGCGTGGTGATCTTAGTGGTCCTTTCCAACCTTAATGGTTCTAATCCTGTGGTCTTCAAGGTGTATGGGAATGAGGTGGTCACCAGTGGTGGTGGCGAGGTCTTTGAAGTAGGATAGGTGTGACTGGAGGACTGTAGTCTTCAAGTCAGGTGAGAATGGCAGTGCCCAATGCTGGATGTTCCTGCTCATACAAGGGCTGGGCCAGATGGATGCAGAGGGCCTTGTCACCTCAACCATCCTGCCACTCTGCAACTCCATTGGAGGGTGACTAGCAGTGACCCCAGGGTCTTCAAGGGGGTGGGACCAGGGATGACCAGCAATGACCTCAAGGCCTTCAGTATTGATGAGATGGGATAATTAGGGCCCGCATTTCGGGGGTCCCTGTGCTCACCTCTGCATGCCCACCAGGCCTGGGCGAAGGCCAGTGGAAGGTACGAGGGGAATGCTGAGGATCCAGCCAAATGGAAGACCAACTTCCGCTGCGCCCTGAGGAGCACCCACATGTTCACACTGCTGGAAGACCACTCCAAGTGCAACAATGACCCGCACAAGGTCTATGCAGTTGCCTCAGGTGAGCCCAGGCTTGGAGGAAGCAACAAAATGGGGGCTGAGCTTGGGGCACCCCGCTCACCCTGCTCTCCTTCCAGCCATCCCCAATGGCAGAGGTCCTGGGGGCCCTGTGTCAGATGCTCCTCTGCAGCAGCCCCAGCCGCAGGTAATGGGATGGGCACAGCAGAAGGGGAGGGGGCCTGGTGCTGCTACTGGAGCATTGCAGTCCTCATCCTTGGCCTAGGCCCACAGCACCAGTGCTTCAGGCCTGTCTTGCTTTCCTCTGCAGCAGTTGCTCAACCACCATGATTTGGCCTCAGAAAACACTCCCACAGGTAGGTCCCAGTCCCCTGTTTGTGTGTGGGGGCATCTCAGGCTCAGCCTGGCGGTGGGATCGTGGTGAATTTGTCCCAGGACCGAGCCACTCTGGGGGTTGGTTTTGGGGTTGCTGATGGCTGCTGACCCCCCTGCTGTGCCCCACAGACAGTGCTGCTGCACCAGCCCTGATGCAGGAGGATTTGGACATGCTGCAGTCCATACTGCAGCACTGCAACATCTCTGCCCTTGGCTCCCAGACAGCCCTCTGGGCACACCCAGGTGAGACCAGGCCCACTTGTTTTGGTGGGGGCGCAGAGTGAGGTAAACCCCCACCCACCTACAATGCCTCTGTAGGGGATGCCTTGCCAGAGGATGCTGTGCTGCTTTCTGGCCCAGGTGGCTGCCTCCCTGTGCCACTGTTCCAAGATTGGAGGCACCTGGAGGAGCAGGGCACCTGCAGCCCCCCAGAGTCCCTGCTGCTGGCAGACCAGCCCCTCCCAAATGGGGGCTGCGGGCCGGACGGGGCCGGGGGCCTCTCTGTGAGTGAGGAATGTGCCATCCCTGCACCATCCCCGGGTGAGCAGCTACTCTTCCAACCTGCCAACCCCGCGCCTCCGCCACTGGCAGGTGACACAGGTGAGGGTTCCTCTATGGGGACACAGCTAAGGGTCCGTCTGTGGGGACGAGGGATTTTTGGGGCCGCCACCACTGACAGCTGCTTCGTGCAGGAGAGCTGCCCCCCATCCTGGACATCACTATCTACTACCGAGGAAAGGTGGTCTACCAGGAGCAGGTGGTTGACAGCCGGTGGGTGCTGGCCTACCAGCCCCTGGACCCCGCAGTGGCTGAGCAGCGGCTGGTGCTGTTCCCCAGCCCCGAGAGCCTGGCTGACCCCAGGCAGCGGCACTACACTGAGGACTTGCTGGGGGTGGCAGGGCTGCGGCTGGAGCAGCGTGCCGGCCAGCTCCTGGCCACTCGCCTGAAGAAGTGCAAGGTCTTCTGGGCCTTGTCACAGCAGCTTGAGGGCGGGGAACCCCCTAACAACCTGCTCCACCGGGACCAGGAGACGACCATCTTTGATTTCAGTGTGTTTTGCACAGGTGAGTAGGGCCCCTTCCCATCCCGGTTTGGGGTTGAGGTGGTGGGGAGCACACCCAACCAGAGTATCCACTGCCCTCACTGTGGCCTGCCCTAAGCCCAAGCCCTGCCTCTCTTTGCAGAGCTCCGGGACTTCCGTGACAGCCGCAGGGAGCGCTCCCCCGACTTCACCATCTTCCTCTGCTTTGGGCAGTGCTTCTCCAGCATGAAGCCCAAGGAATCCAAGCTCATCCTGGTGAAGGTGAGTGGCCCTGAGGTGGCCTCAGAGGCAGAGGGAGATGGGTACTGTGGACTGGGACTCTCAGGACCGGGGCAGATGGATTGTCCTGTGCACCCCCTTCTTTTTCTCATGGAGGGATGGGGCTGCATGGAGAAGCAACAGCCCCGAGCCCCATCCACAGTTGTGCCCATCTGTTGTTGCAGCTGGTGCCCAAGTTCTGCGAGTACTGGTACGAGCAGGTGCAGCGGGAAGGAGCCTCCTCCCTCAACAGTGGCAATGTCAGCCTGCAGCTCTCTGACTCCTTCAACCTCTTCGAGCTTATCGAGCAATACCACATGCAGACAGATTGACACTCCCTTCGTGTGTTCCTCCCCCAGCCTCTGCTGTCTTGCAAAGGTCAGCATTGGGCTGGTTTCACCGTTACAGAGGAGAAAAGAGCAGCATTTGCATCCACTCCCGGGCACATCTTGCTACCATGCTCTGGCTATGAGTGCTGACTGAGGGTCAACACACTACGGGAGCAGCCAGCCGTAGAGCCAGCCCAGCACCTCTCCACTCCTCCAAAAGCTCTGCAAAAAGCTTGGTGGTTGGGAAAGCCTTTTCTCTGACTGCGCAGCACTTCAACCCCCTGGCACCAGCATGGTGTACAGTGGGGGTCCTTCCTTCCTCCTTTGCCCCCAGGACAGTTCCTGTGGACCTTGAGCTGGCATGTGGCTTTTTCCAACAGCTATCTGGAGTTTTTGGGGATTGTGGTTCTTTACAGATTTACTTTTCTGAAGTTTTGTAAGTTTAAATGTATGTCTATATAAAGGTGCTTCCCACTCACTGGTGTTGCATAGCATCTTAAATGTATCCTTTATGCATCGCAAGTCAGCACATTCATTTATGCATTTATTGCCCTGCAGTAAGGATGTAAGCAGTACTTGTAAGCTCAGTGTGCTGAGGAGAGCTTGACTTCAGCTGAAAAACAATTCTTTTGTCTTCCATTCGAGCTTTCCTCCCCCCTGGCCTGCAGTCACTCACTGGTGATGTTCTGAAAGAGACAAAGTGCTTGTATGAGAGAGGCCATCCAGGTGATGATCTACAGTGTGGGGCTGCCTGAGGAGGATGGCATAAGAGTGTGGCAGAAGGGCAGAAGCAAGGGCAGGGGACAGCCTACCTGCCGGGTGACGTGGATGCTGCTGGGCCCAAAGGTAGTGGTGCCGTAGCTGGTCACATAGTAGTGGACAGGGGGCTGTGCTGGGGGTGCTTCTGGCTGCCCAGGCACTGTGTGGACAAAGAAAGGGACCGTCAGCTTTTAAGCAACTCAGCTCCAGTATACCCAGCAGTTGAGCTGTTATTCCCCTAAGAATAAGCAGGAAGCCCTGCTGCTGCCAGGACAGCCAATGTTAACCATTTTGGCCCATGGAGAGGAACTGCTTGCCGTACCTGTTTCCAGAAGGGGAGCCAGCATTTTCCACTGGACACAAACTCCTCACCACTTAGAGGCACTAGATATGCCCCTTCATCTCTGTGCAGCCCATTTAATTCCCCACTAGTGGTCAGATTGCTCTGGGGCTCTGCCTTCCCATGTAGCCCAAGACAGGACACCACCATCACCCACCTCCTTCCGACTAGAGCTCTGCTCCACCACCACCAGCCTCACCTTTGGGTAAGAGCAGCTCTACACCAAACCGATGCCCACATGTTCCACAGGTTTTAACATCTTCCTTTGTCCTATGAAGGAAAAAGCCCCAGTTTGACATTGCAACAGCACCCATCAGGTTCCAGCCCTCTGTGCTGAGCAAGCACATACATACATGGGGGTTTTGCCATCCATATCTGGCCAGATGAGCTCTGCGGGACAGCCGGCCGTGCGACAAGGGGTCTTCACACATACGTGCAGCCCTGGCCACTCTTCAGAGAGCTTCTGGATGATAAACATACCCGCCACGAGGAAGTCCCAAGCAAGCTGGAATGCTTCCAGTCAAAAGGAGAGAGGCATGGTTACCCACAGCAGCAATATTGGAGCCACACAACTTGCTTCCAGCCTTATTGTGGCCAACCACCACCAGATCAGGTGTACCACCACAGTTTGTCATCTTAACCAAACCATGGCAGCCTTCAAGGTCAACTTAAAGAGGCATCAAGAAAATTACTTCCCTCAGACGGCCTTTTGCCTGTTCCTTGGTGCTCCCCACCTGTTGCTCCTGCTGGCTTC